GGCTTCTGGCTTACCTCCTGGGGGCTCCTCCCAGGAGGCCTCTCTGACCCCCCCAGACCCTGCACACACTCCCCGCTGTACATTCTCGTGTCACCCTGTGCGTCTGCTTTGTGGTCGCTGGGCGGTTTTAATGCAGACATTTCCTATTTGATGTTTGTCTCCCTCACGGCACAAAGCAGGGCCCGTGGCCACCTCAGTGCCCAGTGCTCTGCAGACACACTAAGTGCTTGTCGACGGCCGACGTGATCAGGAGCTGAGTGCAGACGCTCGAGGTGACGCCACCTGTTAGGTCTCAGCAATGCTTCTCTGTCTCACTGGCTTTAAGTGGTCTGTATGTTTCAGGAGCCAGAGCAGGGACTGGAAGGCTGCAGCTGCACTCTGAAAACGATGCCAGTGAATCTGCTTTCTCAACTGAACTGAAAAATGTCCCCTGGACATGCCAGTGGTCACAGGGTCACCTTGCCGGGAAGGTGACAGTTTCCTGAGGGCCTGGGCCTTGCCAGCATACTGCACCATCGAGGCCTCGCTGAGAAGGGGTCGCGAGGAGCCTGGCTCACGCTGGGCTGGGAGAGGGTGTTTGTCGGTGGAAGGCGCTGCTCCGTTTCATGCTGTGTGACCGCACGCTGACTGTGTGTCTGCTCACGCGGTGCTGGGGTTGGAGATGCGTCCAGGTTGGGGCCATCGTGAACAGGCTGCGTGAACATTTGTACACATCTCTCATTTCTCTTGGGTCACCGTCTAGGAGTGGCACTGCTTGGCCACAGGGTGGGCATGTATTCATCTGCTACACTGATGTCCAGGGGGGCTTATTGGCCGACACTCCCCCACAGCGGTGTGTGAAATGCTTCTCACTGTGGCTGTGTGTCATGTGCCGCTGGTGACTGATGATGCCTGGCACCTTTCTCTGTGCTTCTCGCCGTTCCTGCATCTTCTTTTGTATTCCTGCACACCTTTTGCCCGTTTTTGTTGATGATGGCGTTGGTTTTGACTTACACTGGAGTTCATTATCTAGCTGGATAGGAACGCTTTGTCAGACAGATGTACTGGAAACACAGAGGAGAATGAAGTTTTGAAATGTTATTTACAACAGCATGAAAAAACACAAACTGTTGAGGAGTAAATCTAATGAGAGATACGAAACACTCAGAAAACTGAAACATGGCTGAGAGAAGCTAAACAAGACTTCAGTGAACGGGAGGCGGGCTTTGTCCGTGCTCAGGGCACTTGGAGTTGGTGACGTTTCTGTGGCCCCCAGACTGACCCATAGAGTTGGGGCAGTCGGAGTCCTCGCCATCGTTTAAAGAAAAAATTAACAAGTTGCTTCTGGAATGTCTGGAAACGCAGAGGATCTAAAATAGCCAACGAAATGTGAATAAGAACAAAGTTGTGGACTTAGACTGTTTAGTGGTACTTAAGAATTCCCTGTAAAGCGACACAAATTGAAACGGTGTAGACTTGTGTAAAGGTAGCTTAGTGAACAGGACAGAGAGCTCAGAAGTGGATGTGCTAGGACCGTCAAGTCAATTTGGGGGGCGGTGGGTGGCGGGGAAGAAAAGTCTTTTTATTTATTTTATTTTTTGTTACAGGAAAGCAAAAGTGACTTATTGAAAACAAAAGTACCCACTTGGGAGGAAAGTGCTGGCAAACTCAGAGAACATGTCACCTGAGGAATTTTTTTCAGGAAAGCCTGTTTAACCAGTAATTGTGGATCAAGGGCATAGTCAAGTGGGAATGAAATGAACCTTGGCCCCTCCCTCATTCCATACACACTCATTTGGGATGGTTCGTAAGCCTAAACATAAAAGCTAGAACCATAAAGCTTCTGTGATGAAGACACAGGAGATGCTCTTGGCACACAGAACAGCAGCCACAAAGGAAGAACGGATGCACAAAGAAAAGAGGCGAGCCATAGACGGGAGCAGGTCCTCAGAACACACTGACTGACTGATTTTTTCCCCCCAAAAGTACATTAGCTGTGGTCAGGTCTAGGACGTCGGGTCATTCTTACTGACTGCTTTTCTGTTGATGTTGGGCGAGGTGTTGTCAGGGGGGCCGGTTGGCCTCCCCTGCTTATCTCACCCTCTTGGGAACGTTGGTTCCTTTTCCGTTTCCACTTTGCCCGCTGTTCAGTGGCCGCCCACACCAGAGACAGTGGGTCTTAGGTCAAATTAACCTTGCAGAGTAATAGGTGTTAGGGGAAGCCACAGGCTACGCCAGGAGTCTTCGGGAGGACGCCAGCCCGGGAGGCTGCCTGGTTCCTGAGACCCAGTCTGTCAGGCGGCCCGACACCCCCGGCCTCGTAGGTCTTCCGCAGAAGGGCGACAAGAAGCTTTCAGGGGCTCGCAGAGGGGAGCAAATCCAAGTCTGTGTAGGTCTAGCGCCTGTTGCCCTAAGACTTTGCTTCCTGGCTTCCAATTATAAACCAAAACTGAAGACCAACAGGAAAATATAAACTAAACATGAATCTAAACGAAGCAAAACAACAGCAAGAAAATTTAAAATCAGAGGGACGGCAGTATCTTGAAGACCACAAGCCATTGCAGTTCTAGTCCCGAACTTGAAAGTGAACGCTGGAGTGTCTAGTTGATTTTTGCAGTTGCATGTGAATGTGGATACACGTGTATGTACGCGTACATATGTATAAGCAGCCAGGCAACACACACACACACACAGACGCACACACGTACCATTTAAGCAATGCAGTGCTGGGCAGGGTCTAAGTCCAGCGGATGAGCAGGCTTGAGAAGCAGTAAGATTGGTCCCATGAGGCTCCACACCTGGGAGCACCTTTGTCTCGGAAGCTGTGCCTTCTCGGGGCTGTTTCTAGGTCATGTGTGTCCTGTCTGCCAGGGAGGGTCGATTGGCGGTAACATGGGCCAGCCTGGGCCTTGATTCTCACAGGCTGGGCGGGGGAGGGGGGTGACTTCCCACTCCAAGTCCCAGATGGAGAGAGGCCTGTGGGGTGCACCCTGCTTTTCCCATGAAGCACCTGCTGTTGTAGTGGACACGTGTGTCAGCAGGACAGAGCCAGAGCATGGAGCATGTTCCTTGGATGACAGGTGGTGGGACAGTGTCTCCCATGGGGGAGTGAGAGATGGCTTCAGGTGGCACAGAGAGAGATGTTCTAAGTTTTCATAGTTAGGGACTTATTAGTGTATGTTAGCAGGGAATGTGAGGCGGCTCAGCAGACCTGAGCGCTCTAACGCCGGGTTGATTTAAAGCCACACGCAGCTGAGCAGGTGGCCAGTGAGTGCGTGGGCGCAGCCGTGGCTGAGCGGAGACTGAGGATGCCCCAAGGCCTTTCCAAGGCCAGGGTCTTGGTTCTCTGGGTCTGGGTTTTCAACATGAAATGCAGGGGCTGTTCTCTGGGCTTTGGGAAGAGGGACTGCTGTGGAGACGGACGGCAGAGCTGGATGCACAGTATCCAGGCACCGAGATGACACTGCCACCGCCCTGGCACCCGCCCTGGGCGGCCTTCACGTACACCGTGAAGGTATACAGCCTGTGCACTGGCTGTCGGGGTGGCTGGTCATTCCCAAGGCGCCTTGCAGCCCTTACGCTCTGAAGAGTGTTCTTTTCACTGCCCCGTTTCCTTCAATGCGGATGTGACTTTTGCCACTAGAGGGCGCTAGGTGGCTCCTTTGAAAATTTGTTCATCAGAATTGCAGTGAGAGAGTGTGATTCCCCCAACACACACGTGAAACCTGAGCTTCACAAACTGTGCGGATGCTGGTATTTTCTATCTTGCTCTATTCAAGTTCATTTTTTAAGTGCAGATTTGAAAACGATTAAATTGGTTTTATGATCTCAGTGGGTCGGTGTGGAAACACTACGTATTTTGGACGACTTAGTAGGTTCCCCCAGTAAAACCCTGGGCCTGTTTCTGTGGACAGTCAGGAATTGTCGCTGCTGGTGTCTTAGTGACTGCTGGTATGCCTGTGTCTGACGGTGCAGTGAGCAGCCGCGCGTCTGTGCTTCCTCACAAATGTCCCTGGTTGTGCAAACATGGGTGCACGGGACCATGGGGACATCCCCCTGCAGAACCAACCCCCACGGCAGTCAAGGCTGCAGTGAGCCTTGTCGGTAAATACAAAGGAAAGAAAAGAGACTGGATCTGCTTCTGGGGCTCAGACCCGATCGGGGACACACGTGCACTCACACACACACCTGAAATTTCAGCTTATTTACCAAGCAACGTGGAAATGAGTGTGTTGCTCGGGCTGCTTTAGGCTGCAAGTAACAGGAGCCTGGCTCAAGTTGGCGCAAACAGTGTGGACATTTATCAGCTCACAGAACATCCTTCGGGCAGTAGCGCAGCCCCAGGCCCACGGTGCCATGACTTGGGAAGGGACCCAGGTTCCTTCCTTGGCTTCCCATTGGCCCTAAGGCTGTTCCACTCACCCAAAGCCTTCTGGTGATAATCCGGCTTCAGCTCCCAGGCTCAGAGCACTAACCCTTTAACTCCTTGCCGTGTAGACCCGGGTGAGAGCGTTTAGGCTACCATGACTTTTTCCAGTTGGTTTTGTGTAGTTGTTTCTCGCTCCCCGACAGCGACCACCATGTGTATGTAAGTGACCGACCGGCACCTAACACAGACTTAGCGCATTTCTAGTGGCGTTTGCCAAGTAGTTTTCAGTTTCCTTTTCTGGATAATACAAGCTTTGTTAGTGAGTTTGCTGAGTGAATAAAAGGTTGCAGGTCTTCTCTTCGAAGTGTGGGGTGAGGTTGTCTAGCATTCTGGGAAAGGAATTAGTGACATGAGGAAAGATGGAGGTGAGGAACGGCCTCTGTGGGGAATGTGACGGGATGTGGGTGTGCACGTAGAGGTGGATGGGTGCGTCTGTTCCGTGTGTAATGGCTCATGGGCTGGGCGTTTGCTGGCCTTTTGAGGTCGACGCATTGTGTCTGAGCCCTTGAGCTGGCTCCTGGGCACGTGGCCGTGGGCCTCGGCTGGAACCCACTGCTCCCCACTCACCTTCCTTCTCTCTCATCCCTTTCAGGTTTGCAGTAAGCATCGGCTACTGGGATGACCCTTACATCCAGCACCTTGTGAGACTGTCCAAAGAGAGGAAGGCCCCTGAAATTAACAGAGGCAAGTGAGCATATTCCTCCCAGCAACTGCTCATCCCCTGCAAGGGCTGAAGTTTTAGGGGTTCGTTTTTAAAAAGCGAGTTCCAGGGTGCGCTCTGCCCAGTAGCATGTGGAAGTGCTCGTTTCCTGACACCCTCACCAACACTGCGTGTGGTGCAGCTTTTTAATCTTTGCTCATCTGACACTTGAAGGAGAGTGGCCAGGAGTAATTTTATTTCACATTCCTCTTCTTTACAGCAAGGTTGAAGAGCATTTGCATACATTTACAAATCATTTGCATATCTTTCACTGTGAACTGTCTGCTCACAGACGGGATGACTCTTTGTTGCCTCATTAAACCGTTGGCAACCCCATTAGGCTGTGCACATAATTTCCAGCAGGGAGGCAGGCCTGACTTAGTCTCAGCCAGGCTGAGAAACCGACTGCACAACAATAGTTCCTGTGTGTGCAGGGAGACCTGGCCCCACAGGCCGGATCCTAGAGGTAGGATCTGTATGAAGCACGAAGAAATTTTAAAGTGGGGGTTCCTGAGAACAAGGACCAAGGAAGTGGTGTTTACTTTGAGCTGAGGGTGAAAGCAGGCATCAGTAAGGTGGGGCAAGGCCTGGCTAAGGGGCTGCAAGCTTAACAATTTCCTGACCTAATTCCCATTAGAATTTGCAGTTTTGCATTTTACCAGAGCACGCAGCAGCTTTCTCGGTCGCCAAGGACAAGGTCAACAGGTCAAATTTCCAAGAGGAACATTCAGATCCCACGTTTTGATGTAAAACACTGTAATTCATGAGTAAAATTGTGGGATGTTTTATTTCTCGTAAAATAGTTAATCCACCATTAAATAGACTGTGCTTACTTGGGTTCATTGGCGTTAAAAAAAAAAAAAAAAGAAGAGAAGGTGGAAGTTTCTCCTGGGACATCCATAAATACACTGCTGACCCTGAAAAAGGCAGGGGAGCTGCGTGTTTCTCTCTGCCGGGTGGGCTTTGAGGGGTCGCTTCTGTCGCCACCAAACAAGCGACAGCTTGTTTCTCTGTCTCTCAGGGTATTTTGCTCGAGTCCATGGCATCAGTCAGCTTATAAAGGCATTTCTGCAGAAGACGGAATGTCATTGTCAAATTATCAACCTTGGGGCTGGCATGGATACCACCTTCTGGAGGTTAAAGGTCAGTCAAATTCCTCCTCCTTTCTCCCCATCGGTTTGCATTGAATGTTTTGAAGATGTTCCCCTGGTTCCAAAAATTTAAAAATATGTTAAAAGGGGACGCAGTGGTGGCCCTTCCTCATCCTGTCCCCAGCGGCTGGCACGTCCCCACAGCCCACATGTCATGGCACCACCAGTGAAGGCTGTGTGTTGTCTCGTCTCCCGTGGTCACAAACAGGGTTACAATAAACATCCGTGTGTACATTTCCCTCTGCACGTGTGGAGATGTATCAGGAGAAAAAATGCCGCTGGTGGCATTGCTGAGACCGAGGACGTGCATTTGTAATTTGGACAATAACTAACGTTTGGCTGTCGGTGTAACAGCATCTTGGGTAGAATGTGGAGAGTTGCCCAGCTGGGTGATGGTGACACGGGGCAAGGCCTTTGTGGCCCTTGTCTGACTTGATCCCCAGCTGCTCCATCAGGGTTCAGGAGCCGGTCCAGCCATCCTCACTCACAGGTGAGAGGCTGGGGTCCAGCTGGCGGCAGGACTGGGACCGGAGGGCAGGTCTGGGACTCTTGGGCTGGAATCTTAGCGCCAGACCCCTTCCCTACAGCGACCTCACCGACTGCATTTCCTTTTTGGTAGGTTTGTACAGACTTTTCTTGGTTATTCTCTGCGGTCGGTCGTGTGGCAGAAACGGGTACGTGCGTGTCCCCAGGTTCCTTGCAGGCATCCAGGTGGATAAATTAGTGTCTGCGCACAACCCGGCCTGCCTGGCTCCTTGGTCCCCATCAGCTCACGTTGGTCGGCAGAGCCCCCAACCTCCCTCACTCACCCTGGAAATCAGCGGCCTCCACACGGTCTCAGGCCTGGGTTTTGGGCTCCGTTCTCCATCAGGATGATCAACGCATGTTTGTGAAGTGCTTTTACACCCAGGACCCCCTGGATTCACACGACAGCTCACTGAGGGGGTTCCCACAGATGGGGCAAAAGGGCTTGTGTCTTCCCCACACTGGACAGCTCGTGGCCTTGGAACGTGGGCCAAGCCTCGGGCTCCAGCCTGTCAGACTCCAGGTTCTGTCTGTCCTCTACGACAGCCCTGTGTTTGGGGGTCACTGCAGGTGACCATGCTGTGGCAGGAGGAAGTAGAGCAGACGCGAGGGCGTGCTGGCTGGTGGACCGGCTCCTGCACAGGTCCCCACTTTGGGCTGACGCCTTCTGACGTGGTCACATGGTATTTTTTTCCTTGTCTTGTTGGTGGGTTAATAGTTAATAAATGGGAGGTTTTTATTTCTGAGTGAGGTACTGCGAGGCTTATGTGCCCCTTCAAGAGAAAGGTGGTCTGTCAGCAGTAAGGAAGGAAGAATAGAACAGGCTGTGAAAGTCCTTTGTGGAAGTGTTTTGCTGCTCAAAAGTGTTTTTTAAAAATGTAAAGTTCCTTTTTTTAAAAAAAAACATATGCTTGTTTGCTCTTTTAGAGCAGAGGTCACACGGGCCAAATCCAGCCTCCCTCATGTTTCTGTGAATAAGTTTCCTGGGACGCAGCCACCCCCGTTTGTTCACATCCGTCCAGGGCGGCCTTGGTGCTGTGACAGCGGAGAACACCGGGCCTGCAAAGTCTGACATGCTTCCTTTCTGGCCCGTCACAGAAGTTTGCTGATCCCTGTTTTATGTGCTCCTGTAAGACCGGCGGAAATCGTGTTATCGGTCTTGCTGTCTGATGCTCCCCTACCTGGGCCAGCCGAGCTTGGTCATGGCTCTCAGGACCCCGTCTCCTGTGGCGGGTGAGAGTGGGGCAAGGCAAGGCCAGTATTGTCACAAAGACTAAAGGGTGATGGAAGCCCCTTATGGGACCCCAGTTTCATGGTGTCCCTTGAATTTCGCTTGTGCACAACCAAAGGGTTTGGTATGTGGGGGCAGCAGGTCCGTTTGGGTGACCTGTGAAGCCGCCGGCTACGTTGGGTCCCCTTTGAGTCTGGGGGGTACCTTGGCTGCCCTCTGGGCGTTATACACAGGCCTGGGTGTCCTCTGCTCCTGTGACACACAAGCCACTTGGGAGTGGTGTGTCCCCGGGGCCAGAGAGAACCACGGAATAAAAAGCTGCAGCCTCAGTCCCACAGCTGTGACAGCGGAGAGAGGCCGTCTCTCTGAAGAGCCTCACGATGACCTTGGGGACCTCTTATTCAGAATGCTTGGGGAGCAGGGAGCGCTTTCGAAAGGAAGAAGTCCCTACGAGACAGGGCTCTCTGCCTTCTCATTCACCTGTTTGAATTGTTCTCACTGCCTTCTGGACTGTTACACTATCCTCACCTCTCCATCCCCTCAGAGTCAAGTTCTTGAAAGGTGCTGTGGAATTTCTTAGCAAAAGTTATTTGCATGCATCCTCTAAGGAGCAATTCCTCAGCCATACTCTGCAGACTGGCTAAGATGTCAGGAAGCCGTCTGTCCCTCTCCCTCTCTCTCCCCCGCCTCCCCATCTCTCCCCTCCACCCCCCCTTCACCTCCCCTGCTTCCCCTGACCAGATCCCTCAGATTTTCCCTGAGGACCACTCTCCACTTCTCCACGTGAGTAGGGGGTAGCTGGGTCCCACAAGTCTGGTGCTTACCTTGAGGGGGCCCCTTCTGACCAGGAAATGCCTGCCCGTGACTTCTGTGCCCATTCTGCACCCCTCAGGGCTCTGCTCCCCTCCGAACCTGTTCTCTGTCTCTTGTTTTCGTCACCTTTACCTGCCCGGGTGCCCAAGTCAGAGACACCGGTGTCATCCTTACCCTCGTCCCACACACCACCAGGTTCCGGCTCTCAACAGCTTCCTTCTTAGTCTTTTTTTTAAACACATGGGATTTTAGGTGCAGGTGGGCGTCAGGGTGTTTAGAATGTCCCCAGGGGAGACCAGGCAGGTGGCCAGGTGAGGCGCACCTTGCTTCTTGCTGAGTCCGAGGGGGTAAAGAGTGTTGCTGACCGAGACCGAGGGCTGTTGCTACACAGGTGTCCTCTGCACAGGTGGTGGCAGCACCCACAGGGACTGAGGCCTCTGAGGATGGTGGCCAGGGCTACGTGATTGACAGGACAGGACGGGGCTGGAGACAATGCTGGGACAGCCGTGGGCGGCTGTGTAGGGGTGTAGACACCAGCCAACCTAGGACAGGCAGGGGGGACGCGGAGCTGTGTGTGTGACTTTCACACTGGTTTTTACTGCAGCCCACAGTAGAAAGTAAATGTGCATCCCCAGGCAGGGCCCACACCCACGCACCTACACCTGTATGTGATAAAGGCACATACATCTGAGTGTCACTCGTGTGTTTCCTCATTAACCCTCATTTACCATTTTCCCTGCTTTTCCAATGAGGAAACCTTGGCCCAGACAGTGGAGTGATTCCCCGGAAGCCCAGCACATGTGCAGTGGGGCCGGGGTAGAACCCTGCCCTTGACCACCCACTGTGCCACACTGTTCCAGGACAGACATGTGGGTCACCAGGTCACACTTGCCCTTATTACATGTGATGCTTTCAGATGTGGCTGTTCACCCCGACCTGCTGGTCACACCCACTGTGGTGCTAACTTCCAGACCGCCACGTGGTCCCAAGCTGCCTTTCGGCAAATACTGTCACCAACCCCCCAAAAGCACCTCCCACCTCCATTCTGTGCCGCTCGCCCCCCCACCTCCCGTCGGGCTCCCCTTCTTACCCAGTGACTCCAATGGCCAGCGAGGCGGTTGAGTCTCCGGGTTGGTTGGAAACCCCTCAGCGCCCACCGCTCTTTGGGGCCCCATGCTTGGTGCATGAAGATGTTCTGTAAACAAGTGCATGAATGAGGAATTACAGAGATCACTGTGTTTTCTCAGGATCAAGGTCTCCTCCCAAGTAAATACTTTGAGGTCGACTTTCCAACGATCGTCACCAGGAAGCTTCATAGCATCAAGTAAGTGTGGCTTCTGGTTGGACCAGGTCCCGGTGGGATCAGAGCCAGCTCAGCGGGTTAGACTCAGTGAGGTGAGCGGAAGGGGGCTCCAGGCCAGGGTGGCTTCCTGGGGCGTCTGTGCACAGCTGTCGGGATGCCGGAAATTTGGCTCTCTGGTTTCTGATTTGCATATTCTTGATCAGGGGAGTTGCCACATAAATGTTCCTAAAATTTAGGTCTGGGTAAGAGTCAGCTTTTTTAGTTATCTGTGAGAACAGTAGCTATCTTTAAAATTTTGTTTGAGAAAAGGCAAGAAACTAGAGATCGCTTGATAAGCACTGGAACGTTGGGGACATTTCTTGCTAGCCTGTCTTCTGCTGTTTCTGAGTCTGATTGTTTCACATTCAGTTTGTGATTGACATCAGATTCTGAGTGTCATGCATCGTGGACCTGAGCTGAGGCCTGCGTCCACTGACATTTCACTGTATGTGCCTCGAGGCAAACAGGGGTGAACAGAAGACACCACTGTGGCAATATATATAGACTGGCCATTTTCACAGCACTGTCGGCGTTTCTGCACCCATTCAGCCCTCCGACTAACCTTTTTCCTCTTTCCACCTTCCCATAGGTGCAAGCCTGCCCTGTCAAAACCCATTTTAGAATTGCATTCAGAGGACACACTTCAAATCGGCAAGTATCCTTAACCCAAGCAGTGCAAGGACTGTGTGGCTCTTTTGGCCTTTTCCCGCTTTTCTTTTTAAAAATGATGTGCATGCGTGCGTGCGTGTGTGTGTGTGTGTGTGTATGCATGTGCGTGTGTGTGCGTGCATGTCTGTGTACATGAAGTCACCCAGTGTCCACATCCACTGACACCTCCACCGCAGTTGCCATGGAGGAATTTAAAACAATTTTTTGTATGACTCGCCTTAGAGTCCCTAGGTCCCCAATTTTAAGCCTTCTTTTAAAATTTGAATTAGTTGCAAACATTTCGAAAACAGATTTTTCATGAAAATCTGGGTTTCCTGTTTTCCTTGGGAAGATGAGATCTGGCAACTTCAGACCCTCGCCCTGCGTGGCGATGGTTGAATGGCGGCTGCCTTGCCTCCAGGGCCGTGTGTCGCCCACTTCTGCCCCCATCGTCCCCACCATCTTACTCCGCCTGCCTCAGCATGTGTGTTTCCTCCTTGGCTCCAGCACCCAGTTGTTCTCCAGTTTTCATTATGCATCTTTCCATCAACACTGGGCTCAAATTAAGATAGACCTCCTTCAGAATCTTCCCACCAATTTCAGTCTGTGCTTCACAGAGAAGTTCAAGGGGTTCCATATTTCAGGTCAGAAAACACGCCGGATGGGCTGGTCTCCTCGGGCTGTCGGCACAGACAACCCGTGAACCTAAGACACACAGCCTCCTTTACACACAACCACAGTAGGTGGTCACTGCCCTGGTCGCCATCGGCTCCCAACCAGGTTTCCACAGAAAACGTCTCCCCGCTGTTTGCATCCCTCGTACTGGTTGTCAGGACAACCCCTTCCAGAGCTGGCATTCGCAGGCCTGTGTGCCATCCACACTTGCTGTCATGGGCTCCTGTGTCTGCTTCCTGTTTGTGTCAGAACGCTCATCAGTAACAAGAGATCTGACGTTGTATTACTTTAGATCAGTGTGGAAATGTCTGGCGTAGAAAGTAAAGACCCTCGACAACCCCAGCGCCCCCCAGGGGAACCAGTGTTGAGTGGTTTCCACAACAGGTGAACGTCACACCTGGAGACAGGTAGACACACACGGATACAGCCCAGTGCCTGGCACGTAGAAGGCTCAGTAAGCTTTTGTTGAATGGACATGTGTAGACATTGAATAAATATAAGTTGTAGTTGAATGAGTGAATCTATACTTCTGTATAGAAATCTAGATTCATATGTGATGTTCATAAACAGTGAGTAATTTAGGCTGCTGTTCTGTAACTTGCTCTTTTCATGTCCCGTGAGTCATGGCTGTCTTATTACTTCGTCATGTTACTTCGTACACCGCCTCCCTCTTTCCAATGGCTTTATAGTACTTGGCACGGAATCCCAGTGTATTTAATCTCTTTCCAGCTGATGGTCATCTAGACTGCTTCCTTTCTTAGGATTTTATGTTCCAGTGTCTAGAAAGCGCATATATATGTGCATGTTCTCAGGAATTGCTAGCTCAGAAGTTACATGTCATGAATTCTGCTAGCTGTGCTCAGACTGTCCTTTGAGACCCTTCTGACTAATTTCTATTTCTACTAGCTCAGTAAGGATTCCTTTCTGTTTCCTCACTAACTCTGGGTGTTACCATTTTTTTAAAATTTCTCCCAATCTGCAAGGCTGAAATGATGTCCTGTTATTTTACAAGTTTACATAACTTTGAATGCTAGTGAGATGGAGTATTTCCCCTGATAGTAAAACTCCTTTCAAACTCGCCCTGAGGCTGTACCCTCTACTAAATACAGTCTTTTTTCCCCGCAGTGCGGGTAAGGGTCCTTCAGGGGTCCGTTTCCACACAGCTTGTGTGGCCCCTGACTGCAGAGGGCGCCGTCAGTCATCGGGGCCTGTCATTCATGAGACTCGGGGCCATCTCGCCCAGCGTGTTGCCGTGTGACGACTGCATCATAGTGTGTGTGTGTCACGTCACATGGTTATCATGTCTTTTTAGTGGCTGGAATAACTAAGATCTTGTCTCTCAGCAAATCTGATGATTATAACAGCGTGTGTCTGTGTTCACACACTGCACTGGGTGTCCAGGACTGACTCACTACTGGCTGGGAGTGTGTGCCCTTGAGCGACCTCTCTGTCTCAGACACTGCTGTGGGCATCCCTGCACATACTGGTCATCCCCGTTACTCCGTACGCGCTTTACACAGGGATGCTCGTGACAGCGCCCGAGAGAGAGAACTTGGATACGCCATACCTGCTTGTGACAAGTTGGCTGACTCACGTGCTTTGTCTGCTCAGCGGAAACCCCTGATGTTATTACAAAGACTGGTTCCTGGTACTCTT